TTCACTTCCTCTCTCCTTCACTTCCTCTCTCTTTCACTTCCTCTCTCTTTCACTTCCTCTCTCCTTCACTTCCTCTCTCTTTCACTTCCTCTCTCCTTCACTTCCTCTCTCTTTCACTTCCTCTCTCTTTCACTTCCTCTCTCCTTCACTTCCTCTCTCCTTCACATGCCTTCAGTCATCATCAGTCTGAGATCATCTGTCTTTAAATCACCCAAAGTAATAACGAGTGTCCAAATCCCCTCTTCAGACCTGTGTCACGAAGCTCTTCAGATGTGTTTAAAGTGACGCCTCCCGACCTCTAAGTGACCCTGTGGCTCAGCTGCTCTCTGGACATCAGAGAGAGAGAGACGCCAACACACACCTGGACATCAGAGAGAGAGAGACACCAACACACACCTGGACATCAGAGAGAGATGTGTGCATGTGTGTGTGTGTGTGTATGTGTGTGTGTGTGTGTGTGTGTGTGTGTGTGTGTGTGTGTGTGTGTGTGTGTGTGTGTGTTTGTGTGTCTTTGGATGTGTTGTAGGCCTATTGCACAATGCACTGTACAAGCGTGCATGCGTGCATGCTCTTGTGTGTGTGTGTGTGTGTGTGTGTGTGTGTGTGTGTGTGTGTGTGTGTGTGTGTGTGTGTGTGTGTGTGTGTGTGTGTGTGCGTGCGTGCGTGTGTGTGTCTTAGCTTGTTTGAATGCATAAACGTGTGTTTTTGTCTGTGTCTGTGTGTAGCCTTGTTGTCTATTATGTGACGCAAAATGCACTGTACAACTTCTTGCTTTATATTCCAAAAGAAATCATATTCATTTGGCAATTTTCTCCATCAGAAGTAGCGTGAAGCATATTTGTGCGTGTGCATAATAGAGAGAGAAAGAGAGAGAAAGAGATAACTGGGCTGAATAACAGAGATTTTATTATCAAACAAAACAGCTAATTTATAACTGGGGAGGGAGGAAAGGGGTGAGGGAGGGAGGATATCGTTGATGGACTCTGCAGCAGTGAGGGTGAGATGTATTCCTTGAGACGTGCCTGGCCACTGCTGGAATAGCAAATGAGAAATTAGAGAGAAATGTGTGTATGAACGCCGCCGGTCAATTAGCGAGAGGCGAGAGGAAGAGGAGGGAGGAGGCGGGAAAATCAGCTGGTACCCTCATATAGTGCAGATTTGCCAGGAGACCACACACACAGACACACACACCCACACACACACCCACGTTCACACACATATACCTCCAACTCCCCCAGCCTTCTGTCTTCTCTCTGAAACCTTATGTGATTTTCTCTGATTTATATCAAAGTTGGGAACATCTCTGACTGTGATGGTGACTAAAGTGTTTTATTATTGGCTGTATTTCCTGAAAACATAGGCCTACTATTAGCGTTACAACAATCATACATTTAAATCAGAATGAATGGTCAGTTTACTCAAATTGTCATGAAACAGATTAACTCACTAACCTCTGGTGGTATGCAGAATATAGTTTCAGTCTCTGAGATGTGCCTCGTTAAAATAGGGGTGATTTTGTTTGTGGTACTTAATGTATTTAAAACATACAGAAATAGTGCCCCACATACTCCACAAACCTCACCATGCAGTTTAAAAATAATAATATTTATTTATTAGAAAGTAGCTCTAATAAAATCTGTTCACAGTGTTTTGTGGATTATTCAGGGTCCAAATTGTTGAAAAAGGTTAGTCTTTTTACTCACATGGGATGCATGGCTTCCATGCATTAAAAATGCAGATCCAAACATAATATCAGTTCATGGGAAAACAATAGAAAAGACTGTAATCATTTCAAAAACAGTTAGCGTTGTCAACAAGTAAAAACAAATCAGAAAAGCACCAAAATAACTGCAACGTCTCAGGCACTTTCTCATTTAAATAAAGCTTATATCTTCACCTGGACCTCCACCTGCAGTCTCAACTCATCCTGAAGATCCCAGTTGAGTTTCCAAAACACAAATGTCTGGCTCTTTGGTAAAGTGTGTAGTCATGCACAATACATCTATAAAACCATACCCATACAAATAGTACAAACCTCATCCAGCTTCAACGAAGAGCTGAAAAAAGCTGAATAAGATGATTTTATGAAATGAAAGCTAAGGTAAAATAAAAGAGGGACACAGTAGGGGTTAAAGGAAGCAGCTGAAAAACTTAGGTAGTTTGTCTTTTAACAGACTTCTCTTCAATAAAGGTTGTTGAGTCATTTTTTTGACTTTCAGGTTATAGAAGACCTAAGGTTAAAACAGGCAGAATCAATAATGAGAAAAACATGTTTTTGTTATTCAGATTGTCTGGCATGTGCAGAGACATGTTAAGAAACCAAATGTTCTGTGCTGATATGCTTAGTATCTTATTCATGTCTATATAAAAATAACATATTTGTTCATATTTATTGTATTGATCGAAAGGGTTACATTTGACTTTCAATGAAAAATCCACAAAGCAGTATTAGTGTATTGCTGTATGCACAAAGTGAAACTGGTGTTTTTTTATAATAATATTTTCAGTGATGATTAGTAAATATTTCCTAATTGGTATGGACCTGTGTGGCTTTATACTTTTAATTACATTTAGAAAAATGTTGAGTCAGACCTCGAGGAGTTCAATGCTAAAAAAGCATGAGTGGACAAATTGCAGTAAAAGTTGCTAAACAACATTTGTTTAATACTAACTCTACTCCACTACATTTTGGGAGCAAATATGTTACTTTTGACTTCACTAAATATATTTTACTTTACAGATTCAGATTATCAGCCAACATAAATGTAAAAAACGAAAATTAAAATATCATTATTTGTCAATGTTTTTGTATGAGATAGTTGTTAGCTCTAATTCCCGTGATGAACATATTAATGCATCAATAATCATAATGCATTCATTCATACATATATGATTCTATAATGCTTCATTCTGCATAAAGA